TTACATGCACTCAGGATTTAGTTCTACACCAGGTTTGTCAAGTAACCTGGTTTCTCTTCATTGTAAATGCAGGAAGTAGCATGCTCTTTATGTATTTATTTTTAAAGTAAGGGTGTGGAGGTTTGATTGGTGGACAAGTGCTTAGTGCGCCTGAGTTTGATACAGGAGACCAGAGTTTGAATCCCGTTGCAGACCTGCAGTTAACGTTCACCTTAACCCTAACGATGTCAGAAGGGTGCTTATTTGAAGCATGTGCTCTAGACCTCTTCCCTCAGTGTTGAGGCACTGGTTGAAGCTTATCAAGGAGATTCCCTCATCATTATATACAAAGTATTAGACACATTTAATAAAAGTGAGCAAAATGATGGCTAAATGCGAGATGTAGATTTTGAAAAGCTAAGCTGGCAAAACAGAAGAGTATCATCTGCAAATCTATTCATTTGCAACTGTAATTAATGGGAAAAATGTAATTCAATTACATTAAAAACATGAGTGGAACTAAAACGAAATCATACAAGAACAATACATGAACAAATGACTTGAAATCTTAAGACAGGGTAGATAACTGTTAAATAAGGCAACAATAATACCACCAGTAGATTCCATATTGGTTGCCAATGTGTTATTTATTGTGACATTTCATTGGTCTGTTTTTTTTGTTTTGAAAACTGCTACATAAATACATTTCACAACTATTATTATGCCTTGCAAGTAAACGCGGGCCATGATGGCAGCGATCTCCTACTGTGTTTCTGCTCTGAACGGTTCTAGGAATAAAGAGGTTGTTGACCAGGCAACCTATCTTCCCCATCTACTGACTGAAGGAGTGGGGGGCGCCAGCTGTGATATGAATCAGACGCTGCCATGATTGGAATACAATGACCTGGCAACACACAGTCTCTGTATCTCTGTATCTCTCTCTCTTGCTCTCTCGCCATGTGTCTCTCTTTCTGAACAAGGTTATCAGGAGAGATTATCGGGTTAGGACAATACATGGCTGATTCACATAGGTAGTGAATGTTTTGGCACAAAATGTATCTGACATAGGACTAAAAAATAAAGGACATGGTAAATTGTGTACACTGATAATTACCACTGGTATATTACCATTCATTTTCATTTTAGTAGTAGTAATAATAGAACGACTTTGGGCCATGGAAATAATTATGTTACACATGAAATATTGTTAAAAAGTATTACATTATGACAAATATGTTAATTATTTACAAAATCCTAATTATTAGCATTGCTACTAATAATCAAATCACCATCAACAATTCCCCAGTTAAAATAAAGCTGCTTCCTTAGAATAATCTTACATAAAGTCTACATGGGGTAGATGGAATAACATAACCACTCATTATAACTTTAACTTTGAAGTTAATAACGCAAACTAAGGCTGCTACAAAAGTGGGTCATATAATGTTTCATACTAATTAAGTATTTGTCAACCCCCTATGTACTTTATATAGAGTATCTGTAGTATCCCCGATGCCTAGTCTGAACTAGTGGAGGTTGTACTTCTTTCTTGCTGCAGTTTGTTCTTGATTTTTAACACTGTAGTCCTTGAGGTAATGAATAATTGAGCAGTTTTTGAACAGTTGCGCCTGTAGTTTAAGCACAGACGATCTAACCGCTTCAGATTATGTGCGAGCTGTCACCTAACACTTATACATAAGATTCGCACATTACAGTGCTGATTGAGACACCTTTTTAGGGATGACAAACGGCTAACGGGTGTGCTCATACCCACATTTGAAGCATTTGTTGAAATCAAGCTACTACAACGTTAAAAATAAATTGGTAAGTGTTAGTGTTGTTGGTAACAATAACACTGTACACAGTTCAGTTCATTGAGGTCCTGGTTTAACTTGGACCTAACCTTGTTGCCATAGCTGTGCATGCATGCAGTTTTCGTGTGCATGACAAATTAATACGCTCTTGTGCGCTCATTTTCAGTTTTACCTCCAAGTAAATCTTCACTGTCTACTCGTGCATTGAGCCCCACTGGATGATCACTCTGTTTCTAAATCCGAGCAATTATTTTTGTTTATGTTATCATAACCAATAGAAATCAACAAACCTACTAACATAAGACCCAACCTGATAAGTCCTTTACTTTTTTCATTATTTCATTCATCCCGTTTATATTATAGTCTTGTGAGCTGAATTAAATGTGTTGTCAAAATTAACGGTATTAGTCCAGAGCAAGAGATCAATAGATACAACATGTTTTGACTGTAGGTGTAGTGCAGGGGCAGTAATTCATGTCTCATGTCTGTCTCACTGAGAGGTTATTAAGAGTTTGTCCACATCTCATGTATCATCTTCTCAATATAAAAACTTAATGAACCCTGTTGAGGCTGCAGCAGCCGAGGCAAGTCTTTGGAAAAGGATGATAACATGCTCTTAACACTTCGCTGAACCGTGGCGGAGTGCATCACTTTTCAGACTTTTCACCAGGGATGCAGCTATGGGGTCACCATGAATCTTTGGCAATTAGGCAGGGAAATGGAGAGAGGGGTTGTGGGTGGAGGGGGTACTCTATTATACCCCAGAGTAGCAGGTGAATTGTGCTCTGAAAGACTTGTGGCTTCCTGTAATGCTGTTCAGCATGTTACAGGAACGCGTGCTGCAACATTTGGGAGAAGAAGCTCTTTGATCAGTTAAATGTTGTGTGACGAGAACACTGGCTGGCAGTCTCACCTGCGCGTGTTAAGTGTTTAGAGCGCCGCTTTGAGATGTTGCAAATCTAGCTTGTAGCAGTCAGTAAACTCAAGCTGTTTGTGTGCACTCTGGCAGGCCAAAGGAATACTGGAGACAAGGAGTTGAAACTGTGATCACGTTTGTGCCAGAGAAAAGAGATTGTTTTAAAACACTGATACTGATATCTATTTTGGATTATGGGGCCAGATAGTGGTAAATCAGAGGTTCCAAACATGAAGCTCATGATTCCACTAGGGGTCGCAAGATCAGTGTGAGTGGTCGCAAAATGTTTATATTTGGATTTTTTTAAATTTTATAATGACATATGGAATAGTGATTCACATAAATCAACCTGAGAAGGAAACATCACTCAGCTCAGAACTCAGACATGTTTAACCCATGATAAGAGGTCATGAGGATAGGTTGCTTTGCTTTCAAGCAAAAGTTAGATGAGAAGATTGAAACCACTCATCTGTGCTTATTATGTTGACGTTGCCATGCAACCAGCTGAGATTCCAGGAAGTCAGTGCAACCGGCCAAGATATGATCCTACATTTAACCCTCAGTAAAACCACAAGATATAAAGTGATGATAAGTGAACTTCAGTGGTTCTGGAAGGTGGATTTTGTTCGATCTTTGGACGATCCAGCTGTTTCCCCCTACTTTCAGTCTTTATGCTAAGCTAAGTTAACCAACTGCTAGTGGCAGCTTCATATTTAGCATACAAATATGAAAGTGGTATCGATCATCTTATCTAACTCTAAGCAAGAAAGCGAATACATTAATTTCTGAAAATGTTAAAATATTCTTTTAAAGGGCGAAACAGGTAAGGAACCACTGTTTAAAGTGAAAACTCAATACAAACACTAAGACTACTACTTTAAAATACAACAGCTTAACGTTTTGAAGAATGCATTCATACCATTTGACCACTGATCCATTTCGATGTTACATATTTAACTTTTCCATAGCCGTTCACCTACAGGATGCAGAGGTTAAAAGACAGAGAAACTAGCATCAGATCTGTTATCCACCTCAATAAGCATGATCACCATCACTATTAAGCATGCATTTTACACTGTTACGTCCACTGGTCTCTGTCATGTTTCTCCTCTCAGACCTAATGGAAAACATCTGCTATGACATACTGCAGCCTACAAGCACAAATACAATGGTCAATCTGAAATAAGCAGCCCCGTTTAACCAGCTTAATAAGACATTTCACTGTCAGACACAATCTGCTCTGCTGCTCTAATCAGAAGCCTCTCTCTGGCTTCCCCCAACCCCCCAACGTCCATCACATTAAACTTCTTATTAGGGCTGGGTAGCTCCTCCATCTTGGGAGTGATCTGTGATCTACAGCACTATACAGCTCATAAGAGAAAACACAGGATTTAAACTTTAAATGAGGCATCATAAACTGGGACGCAGCCCACAGAGACTGTGGATACTGTAAGGATATATATGAGTGCTAATTCAGTAGGCCCTAATTTCTGCCAGGGTCACAGAGCAGAAATCCACAAACAATTAACATGAGCAAACACTAAGACGCTCTCTGTCGAAACACAGTAATCTTGGCAAAGTGATGAATGAGATTAATTACTCTACAGTGGGGAGGAGAAACAGCCTGGAGCTGATCAGAAACATACAACAGAGTGTTTTTAGTGATCAACATGGAGCCATTCATGCAGACAGGCAGGCCGGAGCTGGAGCACACAGGCAGCAAGGTGCTCTTCATCCAGTTCACATGCCTGGTGATGGCTGAGGCAAACTAAATATTCTGATCGTCCCAGCATCCCCCTGCAAAGGCAACACAAAGACGTTGCAGCCGGTCACGAGGAGCCGCTGTCACCTGCCACAATCGCGCGAATATCGCTTAAATTTCGGTCAGACCTGAAAGTGATAGCGTTTTCGCATCGGCCAACCCCCTCCTCCTCCTCCTCCGACCCCCACACACCCCGGCCTCGGATGGATGGATGGATGGCGAGTCTAGCTGAAATTGGGGTGGGGGGCAGGGGGGTGGGGGGTTCCATTTTCAGTCCACGACCAGTGCAACCCCACCACAGCCCTTAAGCGCATCATAATAAAAAAACCCAATCCACACCACACCTCGGAATAAACTGACATAAAACAGCAAAAACATCTGGCAACACACACACTCCGACAAACAAAATACAACAGCCAGCCATATTCCCTGCAGGCTGCCACATTCTAGCATTTTTTAAGCGTTTGCACAGATGGGAGGTGTGAGACGAGCGGAATGAGGAAACTGGAATGACATTGCGCCTGCTTACTGTAAAATAAATTCCCTCGGGGGGGGATGGAGAGCCTCCGTTTCCCTCTTGACTCCCCTCCTTTCCGACGTGCGAATTTCCCGAAATTCAGACCATGCAAAACAGGTTAGTCAGTCATTCCGCCCTCCGAAGTATTTGGTCCAGCGCCGCGTGTGAAAGGGAGAAGGCGAGCCAGCAGCATCCGAGAGGAGAGAGCCAGCTGTGGGGAGGAAATGAGGAAGGAAGGAGCGGCCGGGCCGGAGCTCTGCGCACAGGAGAGGAGGCAGGGAGAGCGGCAGAGGTGCTCTCTCTCTCTCTCTCTCTCTCTCTCTCTCTCTCTCTCTCTCTCTCTCTCTCTCTCTCTAGTTCACAATACAACATCCCCCCAATCCCGCCAGACAGACTGACAGACTACTTGGGTACCAGTGTCAGCAGCGACACCCACCGGTGATGAGAGGAATTACGGTATGGGGGGTGATAAATGCCACAGAGCAGCAGCAGCAGCAGCAGCTGAGAAACTGAATGTGTTACTGCAGGTGCTTAAGCTCCAAACTAAAATCACTCTTTTTGCTGACAGAAATCACGTCAAACTGATTTTCAAATGCAATGTTTTGTTATTACTGAAAGGATGAATCAGGGTTTTTTAGGAGTACATTAACTAGGCTATGCTCTTTTAGCCTTTAAGCCTCTGAGTCAGCAGGCCAGTGGACATCTTTGATTGACAGAGGTGTTACACCAAATTCTGTGAGCCATCAGAGTATGTGAATCAAATTTGAATTTCAGCTATGTTGCTACAGAAAATGTTTTCCTCATACTGTATCACATTTATCTATAGCCCTCAGCAGCAATGACTTCATGAGCTTCATTACAGATAAAATTATTATTATAATTATTGTCACTATTAGAGAAAAAAATAATCACTGCCTGCCCTCAACAGGTACCAATGTCTCCTCACACAGGAATCTTAACAACTGTTATGCAAAAAGAAGTCTTACCCTTAGTTGGCACTTCTTTACTGGATATGATCAATCTGTCTTTATTGTCAGGCTATGTACCACAGTCCTTTAAAGTAGCAGTAATTAACCCATTTTAAAAAGCCCACCTTTGACCCAGGGGTGCCAACTATAGACCTATTTCTAACCTCTGCTTCCTCTCTAAGATTCTTGAGAAACATAGCAACAGCTTATTTGAGGATTTCACCAGTAAGGATTTAGAGTTCATCACAGCGCAGAGACAGCACTAGTGAAAGTTACTAACAACCTTTTAATTGCATCAGACAATAGACTTGTCTCATGCAGTAGTCTATTACAGAGACTTGAGCATCTAATTGGCATTAAAGGAACCGCACTAAGCTGGTTGAAGTCCTATTTATCAGTTCAATCTCAGTTTGTGCATGTTAACAATGAATACTCCATGCACACTAACGTCATGAAGTTCCACAAAGTTCTGTGCTTGGACCACTTCTATTCACTTTATATATTCTTCGCTTAGGCAACATTATTAGGAATCACTCCATTAACTTAATTAAGTACAATCATACCTTAAGGACATAAAAACCTGGGGATACCAGGCAATACCCGGGTCAATGTGCAATACACTTGATTATTATGTTATATTATAACACCATAATCTTAAAACTCATTACTATTTATTTAATTTCTGTCAGCAATACGGTGGAATATGTTTACACCTATGCTTGGATTTACATTTACTTTGTATATAGGCTCTTATTATCTTATTATATCTCTTAGGCTCTTATTATATTTCTATTTTCCATTTCTATTTTTCCATTTTACTATATGTATATAATTACTATTCTTTACCGTTATGTGAGTGGAACAACTGTAGAAAACAAATTTCACCCCAGGGCTCAATAAAGTATTTCTGATTTCTGAACCTGGATGAGCTGCAATTTTCTGATGTTAAACTCAGACAAAACTGAAGTTCTTGTACTTGGCCCCAAACACCTCAGAAACTCATTATCTAAAGATATAGTTACTCTAGATGGCACTACCGTGGCCTCTAGCTCCACCGGAATCTTGGAGTTATCTTTGATCAGGATATGTCCTTTAACTCCCACATAAAGCAAACCTCTGGGACTGCCTTATTTTTTCACTTACGTAACATTGTGAAAATCCAACACATCCTGTCACACACAGATGCAGAAAAACAAGTTCATGCATCTGTTACTTCTATGCTGGATTACTGCAATTCCTTATTATCAGGCTGCCCCCCTATGGTAAATGATAAATGGACCTGTACTTGTATAGGGCCTTTCTAGTCTTCCGACCACTCAAAGCGCTTTTACACTATGTGCCACATTCACCCTTTCACTCAGTGATGGCAAAGTCCATTGAACAGAAACTAACATTCATACACACTCCTGTGCATCAGGAGCAATTTGGGGTTCAGTATCTTGCTTAAGGACACTTCGACATGTGGTAACAGGAGCTGGGGATCGAACCCACAACCTTCCAATTAAGGAGCGACCCGCTCTGCCTCTGAGCCACAGCCGCCCCCTTATTGTTATTCATTCACCATTGTTGTGGATATTGGCGTTGTCGTCCATTGTCTCTGTCCCCTCCTTCCCTCTTTAGCACCCATCCCCTCACCCCTCTACGCCCCTTCACCTAAATTACAAAATAATAATAATCATTAATAATAATTTTGTTTGTGATGCCCACAGCTTTGAAGACCAGATATTTATGGAGTGGGCTTTCTTTAGGTGAGTCTCCTTTAACCAGCAACAGTGTCTATCAGCTATGTTGAATTGCAAAAGTCAACCTTTTTCAGCAAACTTTTCTTTTTAACACTCCTGATGGGAGCGATGTTTTAGCAAGCAAATGTTAGTTGTTTTCAAAATGAACCTTCTCTGCCTCCTGAACATATTCCACCCCACTCTGTGTCACACCCACCCAAACCTTCCCCCTTTGTGAAACTGACTAGAATAGAAGATACATATATATGCACAGACACACATGCCAAATCAGGACAAAGCCTTCACTAGAGGGAGTTAGGACACCAACAGAGACTGGAAAAAGTTTTTAACCCAGTTGAACTGAGCTCTGACTCTTTTCTATCTCTGGCTCTATCTATATTTGTCTCCCTCTCTTTCTGTGTCTGTCTTTCTTTCAGTTCCTCTTTGTCTAACATTTCTTTGTTCAGTCAACTGTAAGCTATTTCCAAATGCCACACTCAGTGGCATCAATGGCAGACTAAATCTTGCACACATTGTTCTCGCATGCACTGTTCGCTTCATTGCACAAGAAATGACTTTGGATGTTCAGATTATCTACACACATTGCAGCCAAAATGTCATACTTCAATTCAAGAATCAATTGTTTTGAAAATGTGACTATATAAAAACACATGCACGCACTCATGGTGTAACAATGCCCAATTTTAAGTTCCTTAATGTGTACTGTTAAAATGAAATTTGTGTTACCCTGTAAATCTGTGACTGTTTATTCATTTATTTGCTGTATCATACCCAGTATGCCCTGCTTGCACTGTTTCTGGCAGTAGAGTTCTATTCTTATCTGTAGCCTATCCTCTGCGGCTCTAATGACCTGACATCTCCACAGGGATCATTAAAGTTTCATCTGACCTAATCTAAAAATTTAAGTCCCCTTAAGCAAGGCACTTGTCTGCTCCAGTGAAGCTGCTCAGTGTCCATCAGTAGAAAATGTGTGTTGTACTGAGAAGCTGCTTGCAGGTGTCAGTGTGTGTGTATGTGTGTGTGTGTGTGTGTGTGTGTGTGTGTGTGTGCGTGTGTGCGTGTGTGTGTGTGTGTGTGTGTGTGTGTGTGTGTGCGTGCGTGTGTGTGTGTGTGCGTGTGTGTGAGTGTGAAGCACGATGCTGCAAGGAGGAACACATGCTCATTTAGGCCCATGTTAACACAAAGGAATATGTCAACCCGTGGCTACTGGATTGAAAGCAGCGAGTGGTGATGAGACAATGAGGTGATTATGCAGCAGTGGTGAGTTGTTATCTGCACAGTGCTGTCTGGCTTTTGCAACTGGCAACAAAAACAAACACAGCACCCACCTATTACACTGGTGCATGGTGATAAAAAAAGAAAGAGACAGAAAGAAAGAAAGAAGAGAGAGAGAGAGAGAGAGAGAGAGAGAGAGAGAGAGAGAGAGAGAGAGAAGCTGTGAAGTCAGGAGCTACAGCATCTGTCTGCACATCTATGAAACAAAGGCTGGGGATTAGGGTTTCATTTCTCTGTCATCCATTCATCTGTCCATTTACATCCATTGAGTGTAACCTAAGGAGATGAGAACCAAGGAAGTTAGCTGTGTGAAAGTAAGAAAGCATGGGCGTGGGTGCTAATGAAGCATGCACAAGCAAGGACACGCAAGACACGGATGTTAAACACTGTCCAGCCACAACTTAGCAACAACTCAGTGAGGTCTAAGTTAATCACAGCAGAAAGTCTTTTTGTCTGCGTTATCTTCCAAAGAGAAAAGAAATACTTGGGATTCCCTGGTATTTAATAAAATATATGTATTTGAAGGAAAGTAATGTAACTTTTATAGAAGTGGCTAATTTTTATTTAGAATGGAAAATATTAAGAACTGTATCAGATTGCATAAAAATCGCATCGAATTGTATCGAATCGCACCGTATTGTTTCATATTGAAATATATCGTCCCTAAATCGTATCGTAGCCCATGTGTCTAGATACGTATGAGATCGTCTTAGAAGAGAGAGATGCACACCCTTAGTATCTGGGTAATGATGTCTGATCACAGGCCTTTGCATTTCCTTGGTATTAATAAGCATGCTTGTTACCTCATTTATTAGCCACATTGTGATTGGATCTTAATCTGTAAATTAAGAGGACTAAAAACATGACACTAACCAGGTCAAGGGGAGGAGACTGCTGTATCGGCTCTGTTTATTTTACTTTTTTCAGCCATGCAAGCAGCTCAGCTCAAAGGATGAAATGTTGGTTGCTCAGTCCACCACTTTGGTCCAGACTGAAATAACTCAACAACTACTGGATGGATTGCCGTGGAGTTTTGTACAGAAATTAATGATCTCCAGAAGACGAATTACACTGACTTTTCTTATACCTGACTTTTCCTCTAGTGCCACCATGAGGTTTGCATGTATGGCATTGAGTGAAATGTCTCAACATGGATGGCTGGATTGCCATAAAATTCCATACACACATTCATGTCTACCTCCGGAGTAACTTTCAACTAGCATAGTAATAGTAATAATAGTAGCAACTACTTTGGTTTATGACAAAAATATCTACAAAGCTAATGACTAATTCCCATCAGCCTCAGCTGTACTTTTTGTTTAGTGCTAATTATCAAATGATAGCAGCTAACACGCTAAACTAAGATGGTGAACATGGTAAACAATATGCTGCTTATACCTGCATTGTCATTGTGATGATGCTGACAGTTGGCTTAATGTCAAAATCAATGCGGATGTCATTTATAATTAAAACGTTTTTGTATTAGATGAAGCTCCTAAAAACATAATGGAAGGAAAGACAGGGCATCATTTTGAGGCCGAGTAGAGGGGGAACTTTTCAGCCAATTACAACCGGCAAGCTTTGGTCCAAAATGTCACTCCATGTCCCTGATAACGCTGACTCCCAACTCTTGCCCAAATGCCTCTTGCATCTTAATAATCTCGAGCACTGGAGCTATGCTGCTGGTATCAGTAAGATTCCTTATGTATGAATATATATGTGTGTAAAAACCACTGTGCCTTTTGTGAGTTTGTCAGTTCCCACTGTAACATTTCAAAAACTGTGTCTGGTTTTATTGCAAGCTTTAGGAATATTTCTGATGTGATGAAATAAGAAAGCCTGTAGTGTTTGTCTGTGTTTTTAAAAATACGTCAATCAAATTTTTATCAAAAAAATCAGTTTTGAGCAGCAGGTTCCAGTCATGTGTACTGACACACCCTTTCATTTAAATTTTGATTACAGATTGCCAAATTAGCTGATCTGTTAACCTGCATCTGATATATTACTACATTATCTCTTGAGTTATAGTCCAACTTCACCATCCAACATTCCCTGTAAACTAACTGCTATAAAAAGTACAGCTTTTGGTCTTAATGAAACCTTGATAGACAAAGCCAGTCAGATTAATGCTGAGATTATTTCTTATCTCCGGAGCAGCTCCTCCTCTGATAAATTCTTGTGTAGACTCAGGTCTGCTCAGGTTACAGTTAACCACATCTTCTGTAGTGAATAAAACATAACACAGCCTTCACTGAGGTCTGAATCACGTTCTTTTCTGAAGAAGCTACTTGTTAAGAAATTCCTCCCTCTGACTGTTAATCTTCATCTAAAATCAGAGAAACAGGAAGAAGCTCTGGAGAGTGAAAACTGTTTATTGAAGATACTCTAGGAAGACAGTGCAGGTTTTATTGATCCACTTCTAACTGCCACAAACCATACCTCTATAACGAGATGTACAGCACTGTCAGCACAGGAACTACAGATCACCCTTGAAACCAGTGCATCCATACAGCTGCTTACATTCGCTGTCAGAAAAACATCCGGTGTCTCTTGTTCCCTTGAGTATCAGGTATTTTATCCATTGTTTGGGCGTGATCAGTCCAAACTGAACACATCTTTATAATTCACAGAGGAGCCTGTTAAAAAAAACGAAAACCAGTGGTGGAAGAAGTATTCAGATATTTTACCAAAGTAAAAGTTCAACTACAAGAATATAAAAAAGTCATGCATTGAGAGTACAGCAAAAGGTTCTTAGAGTATGGAAAGTAAAATGTCTTTTTCTGCAGTAAAATATGATATATGATATTTTTAATACTGATGCATTAGTGTGTAAGCAGCATTTCACTGTTGAATCTGGTCAAGGTGAAGCTAGTTTGCAGTGTTGCCCAGTGGATCTCTGACTGCTTCATCCTTACTTTATTGCTGCCGACATGGATTGCAGTGTTGCTAAAGCTAGTGGTGGTGTGTGTCTGGGTTCTCCCCGTGTGACACCAGTTTCCTCAGATTAGCCTCTAAGACAGAAGTTCTGCCCTCAGGCAACAGTGGCTATGCTAATCTAATGTTATGTAATGGCGTCCCCAATTGCTAGCTGGTGTTGTTTAACCCTGTCATTGGAGGTATAGGCCAACATGATCACCAGTGAGGCAGGCAAGATAAAAACGGGAACACGTGAACTGTGTTTTTTTTATGTAATACCTTAATCCGAATAGTAACTACTAACTACATAAGCCACACGAATACAGTGAAGTAAAAAGTACATAACAAAGCTATGAAATGTAGTGGAGTAGAAGTAGATAATAGTAGAGAGAAAGGGGGAAAAAACACTTGAAAGTGCTCTTTAACTACCTGATACATTTTAACAACAACTGCAATATAGAGTATGTTTAATTTATGACTAATAGTTAATATAATTTCATAATTCTGCCGCATTTATGGAGCAGTAATTGCAGTCTGTCTGATTGTGTGGAGCAGCCAATAGTGAAGAAATCAGTTACAGAGACAAAGTTGCAACTGGAAAAAAATAAAATAAAGGAAGATTACATAGAAGTGAAGCACAGCAGTACAGACAGCCAGTGAATAAGTGAGCTGTGCCTCTGTGGATCCTGTCACCAGCACAGATCTGAAGGTAAAGTGGCACTGCACGGCTTCTTAAGCTGGTGGGAGTGAGCTGATCTCAACTTGGCACTAATAATCAGATTCCTTTTTAAAACTTCCCGAGTGTGTCCTGCTGAAACCCTGTACAAAGAGGAGAGGATGTTTCCACAGCAACAGTCTAAGACGCTCATACTGGCCACTGTTGGAGCTGGAGTCGTGGGTGTTTAAATGTCAACACAGATAACATTTTTGTTTCTATATTGTACCTCTACCTGTTTTATATGCTTTTTTAATTCATGAGAAGGAAACTGAAATCATCTTTATTTTGTCTTTACAAGAGACAGGTGGATCTATCAGGAGGAAACTCTCACATTGTTGTTTTATATTTAATACACTCCCATAATCAAGTAGCTTTGTTGACTCACTCCAGCAGTGGAATAACAATTATTTCATTTATCTGAGTTGCTTTCTTTTTTTTTTTTCCAGATGCTTGCTGTCGACTATTTGACAGCAGCGCCATCTGGTGGTATGAAAAAGCATTTCAGCAGCACACAATCTCCTGGCACTATCTCGCTTCCAATCTGATTTCACATCACTCCACACTAATGCACTGTGTGTCACTGAGCACACAGCATCTCTTTTTATGCTATCACTCAATTTATAATGGGTATTTATAAAGAAATTCGGTCATGAAGCATGACAAAACATGTTTTCATCAGCCATTTTCTCCTTTATATTACGGAGCCAGACTTCTCACATTTAGTGCAATCCTTGGATGATGAATAAATGTACTTAAGAAAGAGTGCATATCAAAGTTAATTAATTCTATTCTCAATGTAAATTGTATTATAGATTATTTAACCTCCACGCCATCACATGATACTGTCAGGCATAACATACAAAAACATGAACTACAAACAATGATTGATGTTATTGTAGTTACCCGCAATGTTATATATATATATATATATATATATATATATATATCTAACGTAATGCAGTTGTTTGTATTATTATATTAATTACATTTTATTAATTTTGTCATTTTTTAATCTCTATTTCATCTTTTCAATATGTCATCTTCCCTGCTTTTATTTTTTCTTTTTCTTTTAGCCTCCACTGTAAAGCACATTGTGTTGCATGTTCTCAAATGTGTTATGTCTACATTAATTGACACTTATTGATTAACTAATTAATTAATGTGGACTTTGCCTGTCCCATATTTTCCAGCTACAGTCATGGTAATCCGCATTAGTCTGCTCACTGGGTGTATTTCTATCTGTATTAAGACTTATCTTAATGCCCAGTGACAACAGAGATGTTCAACCCAACAGAGGGAAGGTTTACTATGAGTACATGCAAGACATTTATAGTAAAGAATATTCACTTTCCTTTATGACACTGTTAGTGCATAAAGAAATCCCAAAAAACAGATTTGGATGATAGAATTAAACATTTCTTTAATTACAGATTATATTGTTAACAGATATAATAAAAAGAAGACTGTTACTGACTCCATTAAAGGTCCAGTGTGTAACATTTAGGAGGCTCTATTAGCAGAAACGGAATATAATATTCATAACCGTGTTTATAATAGTATAATGACATGAACATAAGCACAGTTGTGTTTTTATTACCTTAGAATGAGCCAGTTTTATCTACAAATGCCTCGGGTTGTCTTCCACAGAGACAGCCATGTGTCTACAGTAGGCCAGAACGGACAAACCAAACACTGGCTGTAGAGAGCGCCTTTTGTGTTTTTGTGAGTTTTTTGGGCACTGTAGTTTCTCCTCAGCCCATTCTCATTCTCAGGTCGTCAGATATAGACACCAGCAGTGTTTAATTTGTTGCAATGGACAACTTTACCGCCAGATACCACTAAATCCTACACACTGGTCCTTTGACTGAAAACCCATTTAAGCCAAACACATAAATATCCCAAATCTTCTACACACAGACATATGAATCTGAGCTTGAGCTGCTGTAGCTTAAAAAACAACCTGTAAACCTCAAAATCAAGTCTGAATTCTTCAGTTGGAAGATGATTTAAAGAAGTTAACAAAAGTTAAATTGTCTTTTCCTTTAAAATCCAAGTCCCGTGTTCTAAACTGAACTAATACACATCAATAACATCCTGAAATTAGATGAAATAAAGAATTTCATTTAACAAAGGTAAATTAAAATAGAAATGGCTTAGCACACAAAACACACAAACATTACTCACATTGATGAATAAAAACAAAACAATTGAATTGTCAGTCGTCCAAAACTGAAAATGATCTCATAAGATTTTTGTAATCTGCAGGCTTAAACTACTTATGTAAATGTGATGTTATTTAACTGCAGTGAGTTGTTTCTCTGATGAGCTGATGTTGATTTGGAAGTTCTTGATCAGTGCAGTCTGACAGAGGTGGAAGTTTCTCCGCAGTTTTCATAGTTCACCACGCCATCATTGTCATCATTATTCACCTGTGAAACACAACACCAACCACTCTTAACTGACAACTTTTACATCATTGACCAACATTTAACACAAGGGAATACAGACAACATCTGAACGCACCATCAGTCACTGTCTATCTGGATTCTTGGCTAATGGACAGCGACAGTTGAAGAAAGACGGGAAATGAGGGGCGAGAGAGAGGGGATAACACGCAGCAAAGGACCGGACCACAGGTGGATTCTGGGCTTCTCAACTGGCTGTCTTTTTACACATTTGCTACATTTCTGCCATGGCAGAGATCTGCAGATGTATGGAGTCACTTTAAATCATCTCGGTACTGTATTCCCTATCGCCAAACTCCATTGGTCTCAGTGGCCCCAGTCCTGGTCCTCATTCATATTTCAAGCTACTGTAACTGCTAATGAAGGAGTCATGTGTAAAAAGACAGCCAATTAAGAAGCCCACCTGAGTGCTGACTGATAACTTGTCTGTATTTCCAGCTCTTGGAAATTCTCTAACATACTTAGAGTTTTCAGCCAGTAATATGTATGTATACATTTACAGATTTCTCTACACATTACAAATCTCAATACACTTGCATGTTTGAATACAGATTTGGAGATCCTTTTACACATTTATAAATCTGATTACACACACAGGAACTGAGAGACAGTTGCACAACTTGCACTCACATCGGTAAATAGTTTTGCTACAATTATAGCCCCATAGTTCGGCATCTTACTGAGTTTAAAACCTGCACAAACACAGTGACATTCACAGTCCTGCATTACAGTAACAGTTATCAGCAGTTTATCACCATTTACACTTACAGTCCCTGATCATTCATATACATTAACTTCAGTTTTTATGTTCAACTCACAGACTTGTCATCAGGTGGTCTCTGGTTCCCTGGAAAATAAACCAGAGTAACATTTCAGCTCCAAATTCACAGTTTGTGTAAATCAATCTGACCAAATGTTGGTCTGAATGTTCTCACCTCGAGCTCTGATGAGAAGAACAGTAATCACAGTAATTAGGAGGAGTTCAGCCACGCGCATAACAAACATTATGCTGGTCAGAACAGAGCAATCTGTAAGAGTTGTGGAAAAGACATATAAAATATAGCTATTCTCAATACATGAATGAATCTGCCATTAAATGCACAGCTGACCCCATGACACATTTTGAATGACAACCCCCTGAAATGTACTGAAGTACGTTTGGGGAAATACATTTTTTAATTCTTACCTTCTTGTGTTGTTGATCTTGTTGCATCTACATCTGAAAAATTTTAAAAGAAAACCAACAAACTGTTAAGGGAGAAAACACTGTCATCCTAAAATTTTAAATCCATCAAATAATCAAAGGCAGTTTGTACAATGTCCCTGATGCATGTTCCATCTACGCACAAAGAGCTGTCAAACAGGATTCAGAGAAAGACAAACATGGGAGTTAAGTTATGGTGTTTGAGTCCTCTTTACTCTTCTTTTTTCTTTGTAAAACTGATATAAATACTGTTTTTGCACATTGTCTGTCATCCAGAACTGTTCATAAATTGTTTTTCTTTGTACTTTATTGAATATTTTAATGTTTTTGGATGAGTATTACCGTGGTTGGGATTATTAACTACACATAATGTATAAATACGGGTGTGTTTTTTTCATTTTTTTTTTCAGCTAATATCATGGAGTAAATAGACCTGCACAATGAATTGCAATATTATTGAAATTGCAATACAGCCAGTGCAATGTCCAAATGGTTAAATGTGTATTAAAATAGCCTTATGATTAAGTGTTGTAGTGCTGCAGTTCTATGGCCTACAGATCTTGTTCTCTAGATGTAGGAAAACATTTCTGTTTTGTTTTATTTATTTGTTTGGTATAGAACCCAACAAATTAACAAATCATCACAACTTTTAAATCTTTTTTTCGGTGAAACTTAAAATTGTGATGCAAAAATGATAATTCCTACTAACCCTGAATCATATGGCAATTGCAGTATTCGTCAAAATAATGGCAATGTGATTATTTTAACCATATCACGCAGCCCTAGGAAGAAAACACCTCTACCCAGGAACAAATAGGTGATGCATACCTCTACAAGACTTTTGGATTCACAGAGGATGACTATGAACGCATTATTGTAAGAGACTCTCTGTTTGACAATGGGACAGAATCAACAGATGGCCAATAGAAAAACCTTCAGCATCTTTACAACTGCAAAATTCACATTCATTTACACAACAAGCAGCAGGGGTTAAAGAAGAAAGGGTGAGGCACGGCCCCCAGCCTAGAAAGGTGTGCAGCTTGATTGGTGGGTTGTGAATTTATCTGAAACACATATTCCCAGCTGTGGCAGAATGACAACAGCATTGTTATAAAACCTTCTGATAAAGGCATAGTCAGATGTGAATTTCCATCAGAGAAACTGAACGGCAATTGTAAGATTTACTATGAAAACTTAGAAGAAGACCCAACTCTCAATTATAAGAAAGAACCTGATGAGAAATTCAGGAGAAATTACAAAAAAAGAATGTGAATGTATGAAGGTATCACATCCTATCAGTCCACTTGGTAGACCAATTGTTTCTGATACTTACTCACTAACTGAAAACATTTCTAGTTATGTAGGTTTCTTTATAAAGCCCTTTGTCATTACTCTTCCATGCCATGAGCAGGACTCGATGGACATGATTAACATCTTAAAGACAGTGCATGATCTGAGCAGTGATGCAGGCTTTACTATGTTTTTATTATGTTTTCATTGATGCTTTTTCTGACATCTTTACACCTATGTGATTTTCATATAATTACTTTCCTTATACTTAAATTCAGTAATCATCTTACAGTTACTGATCAAACAATTATGTTATTACTTGCGGTACATAACTTCATCAATAATCTACATAATGGGGTCCCAAAGAACAGGAATTTGAAGGCCACAGAATGTGTGCCATGACACCCTTTAATGTGTGTATGAGGCCAGAAAGCCTTTCTACCATGTGGCTAACATTGTGAAACAGTCGCAGTTTGGTTAGTTTTAGGCACCAAAACTACTTGGTTAGATTTAGGCACCACCTTTTTAGGTTTGGGAATAGATGATGGTTTTAGTTAGAATAACTACGTTACATAAATCCAGAGCTGGACCTAACACACACCCCACATTGTAGACCAACTGATAATTTTTTCCCTTATGTTAAATTTTTTAAAATATAAAAAAATAAAAAGTTGTCTATAGGAACCCCTGCGTAAGTCAGGTGATGTACGTCATGTAGCTTACATAACGTTAAAATTCAACTCAGCGTTAACTTAATGGTTTATGGTTTCACACGGGACACAAACCCTGGCCTCCTGGGTGAAAGTCCTCTGTTTGATTCCTCCTTCCTACGCGGAAAGCCCGGTGCATTGAGCGGAGTGTCAAAATGTTGGTATTTGATGAACTGGGAAAGGACTGGACTGTGATATTATAACATCTGAGTGATTTGTATCCACATATTTACCACTTCACTGTGTGTCTACACTGTCCAACTGTGCAGTTTATGTGTTTATATGTTGTGTTGATTATTCTCAACATTCTTATTCCATGTCAAAAACTGGCACCTACATTACCCACAATTCAACTCCACTGCAGACAGTGGTGGTTGGACGTTCAGGGTGTTATGCTAGTTGTGGTTTCCAGCACATCTAAACAAGTTGTTGTTGTGCATGCATGGCTGAAAATAAATGAATAAAATATTTGATAATTAGTTACAAAAAGTAAAATGTATGAATGCTTCTTCAGCTAAACCAGTGCAACCATTACTGCTTTCACTACTACGCTGATAGATAGTGACAGTGCTTCTGCTGTTACTACTATAATACTTGGATTGGACTGGTTTTCTTACCTGTAGCATTGACAGAAACATTTCCCATCTCTATTGTGCTCTCCACAATTTTTATCCATTCCCCTCCGGTTTCATGAGTCCATTCAGCTCCGTTGCATGCATAAACCCCTTCATCAGATGAATTCACTCTGGAAATCACTAATTCATACAATCCATAACTCACAGGAACCAATCGGATGCCTCCGTTGGCGAAGCGCCAAGCAAACTTCTGCCCCACAACTACGTCTAACTGTGGGCCAAATGTCAGAATTTCCTCTGGTGTTGCTCCCTTCTTCACCAACCAGGTGATGGACAGGTAGGTGTTATGGGTGAGTTCTTGCGTGACCTTGCAGGGCAGTGTGATGTCACTTCCTTCCAGGACAAATGAGGGTGGGGTCTGGGGGGAGACCCTGAGGGTGTTGGGCTTGACTGATGGGAAAAGCGACAAAACAAACATGCTTGGATTACATTAATAACACTGTAACACGGTGAATGTTACTCAATACAAATGTCAAAGCAACAACTTCAAGCTCAAGACACACACACACACACACACACACACACACACACACACACACACACACACAGAAAAAAATTTATTCATTAAATCATTAATTATTATGGAAGTCAACACTTACTTCAAGCACAAGACAGGGCATTTCTTTTCAGTATCTAACTACAACTGTGACATTTGCTCTATCTTAACAATAATGCTAGTGTAGAAGATGTGCAGTATCAGCACTGGGGTTAGGCAGGGTGGTATATTATCTCTGTACTTGTTTGACTGGTTGTGTTTTGGGGTAATCTTATTATCATTCATGCTTTGTATGCAGATGTTTTAGTTTAGTCTCTCTCTAGTCTCTTTGCTGTGCTGGTCTTACTCCCATTATGGTGCTGTATATTCAGATTTAATGTCATTTAATGTAAAGTGTTTTCTACTTAAAGGGTAAGGCAAGCAATTCCAGGTTATGTGATTCTTATGCAATACACTTCTTTTCAAAATTCACTGAATATCTCCTCACAGTCGGCTAGCTTTCCGGTCTGTGTGTCCGCTGACAAAAATCTGCTGTTTGTGATGTTTGGCTCTGTAAATGGGAAACAAATAAAGTGGCTTGGACTGAGCCATACAACACTAACTTTTTATGTCAGCCAGGATTTGTGTGTCAGGTAATATTACATTACTTTTCCATGGACACTCACTTTCTTTGGCAATAATGCAAAAAACATTAAATAATTAGTCCATAATTCCATTGTCTTATTATTATTTTAATAATAATAATAATCAATAAATAGTTTGAGTCCTTTTTAAAATAAAAATGTACTGCATTCACTTGATAAAAAGAAATCTGATCAGTTTTTCTGAATTAACAAGCTATCTGAATTGTTAAATTCCAACCAAAGCCAAGACCTGCACACCCAGGTGTGTGTAGACATGGGAGGACTGATTAGTTCAGAAAACTGTTTTAATGGACTGGATCTCTAGCCAATCTGCCTAATGAGGTCATTACTGTCACAGATACTGAAGCAGATCTGACACGTGCAACCCCAGTTACAAACAGCATACCATAAAACTTCAATTAATAGTCAATAGTTCAGTCACTGACCCTATTTGGGATATGGGACAGGCATTTAATTCCATTCTCACAAAACTCTTGCTCAGCAAAGGCGGGAAATACTTTATAATAATATAATTGTTTATTTATAACCAGTATGAATATTATTTTATTATTATTTACTTAAAAATGAGGGTACTGATTAACATATCGAGTATGAATTTGATTTAGCTCTGAGAGACAGCGCATCTAGGCCAATCTCATGCACATAGTGTGGGGGGGGGAATCAAAGACAGTCTACCTGAGAAAGGAAGAAAGCCAAAGGAAAGGGGGTGAAAACTGAGGGAGAACTGAGAAAGATGGGAAATATTTTATTTTGTAGCCAGCAAGGTAACGAAAGTATTGACTATTGGATATTTTTATCATTTTCAACAACAGACTTAAAAGGCTTCTATTTTGACAGGTTCAGTGTTTTCCTAAGACTGTTCTATTAGCTCTTTGGTCGTTGTTGTTTTCTAATGCAGGCTGTGGCTGTTTAGCAGGGAGTGAAGGCTCTGTGAATATAGCTTGTGCTCAGCTCTTCAAACTTTAAAAATAACAATTTACTTTTGTTTTCTTCACAGAAAGGAAGGAACTGCTGAGCTACTGTGTAGATTTCTAAAGTTTTCTTACACCCCTTAAAATCAAGAAGGCCTTGTTAAATTAAAATATTAAACGTGTCATATTCACATGCTAGTTAAACAGCTCTGTAATTGAAGGGAATTCTGAAACCTAAAAGCGAGATCATCGTGTAGAAAAGGTTGAGAAACCCTTAGTGGCCCAATCAGTCATAAAGTCAGAGTATAGCCCTAGTCAGAAGTTACAAATATTAGATAGTGGAAGATATTTCATTAAAAATGCAGATGTTTATTTTTGATAGGATGGAAGCCTCTGAATATAATGTATAAAGAGATATAAAGTCTGAATTGAAGCAGACACACACTTCTCCCATACCAATGAGTTGGACCTGAGCCTTATAATTGCCACTGATGAAGGAGTCAGTACTTGGCGTTTCACACCAGTAGAAACCAGAATCCAGCACCTTCACCTCCGCTATCTTCAGCTCCACCATGTTCTCCTGGAGCCGCACCATTGAGATGTTACCTATTTCAACTCTACTCTTGAGCAAGCTCGAGGTAAAACTGGCGTCAAAGGTGGAGATTATTTTTATCATCTTCCCGTTTGCATCCCTGGACATCATCCATTCAAAATCCTGCAGGACAAAGTCAAAAAGTAGTGCCATGCTGCTCATTGAGTAAATTAGAAATTCTTTTTGTATGTTTAATACAACAGGCTTGAGGTATAACTATTTTATGATCCATTTGGAGTTCCCTCCATGTTCTTTAAAGCAAAATAAAAAATAAAAAAGCCACATGACAACTCATATTGACATAACAATTAAACAGCTCTGTAATTACAGGGAATTCTGGGACCTAAAAGCAGAATGAGATGAGATGAGAGAGATGGACTAACGCATTGTTGGTTGGATCCTTTGAACATCTTCTTGTTTAAACTTCATACCACATGCACCCACATGTGATGAAGGTTTAAAGACACTTACCTGCTCACGAGGCCCACTGTACTCCTTAACTTCACATCTGATGGAGACCGGCTGACCCTCCACCCGAATTAATGGACCAGGAGACACTGTCACCACCCGTGCCATGCACCCACCTTCAGGGATGGAAAGAATATTAAAAAATACAAGAAAATAACTCAGTTCATTAAGGTTAACTAATGCAGCTAAACTGTGAGTTTCTATTGTTTTACAATCAGCGTTACGGGCTGAAACAAACCAGTGGACTGAGGCTGAATTTTTATGACTTCATGATTATTTTACAGACTTATTACATCCACACCCACATGAGAACAGCATAGCACCTCTACTGCAAATGCCAAATTGCATCTGCAAGAAAAATAAGCACCATCTATATTTCGACCACGATGCAATGGTGAGGGAGATAAACTCAGAACAAGAGGCAGCTTCCAACAGCAATCCCTGCTGCCTCATATGGCGACACTACCTAAAAAGAGCTCAGTAGAGTTGGTCAGTTTAGTGACATTTTCTTCCAGCAGGCCTCCACATTTCAACTTTGACCCTGACATGTGCAATTGGCTCAGCTAAAGATGAAGTGGGGATGCTACCTGCAGCTGGGATTGTATGTAAGAATGTAGTGTGAAGAATGTAAGTGATTGTAGCTATGGTTGTTATGATGCTGTACTACAGAAGCACTAATCCCGGTAAAGATTCTGATATTTCAATTCTGGTGCCAAATGCCGATACCAAAAAACAATGAGATAATACTAGTGCTCTCTTTCTACCCAAATTTAAAACCCTCACAGCAATTGGAATCCATTTTATGACAAGCTCTGGGGATTGTTGCGGCATGAAAAACTGAGTCAGCAGGCCATAGTGGTTGAACTGTATGAATGTCACTTCTATTTTTTTCATGTGTGTGACATATTCTACAGATATAGACACTGAAACTGTAGTGAAAGGTGTATCTGTTGTTGGTGCAATGTCGATATGACTCTGAACAAATCCGCTGGTGGAAGAAGTAGGCAAGACCTCGACTCTCTAGTGAATCGACACTGGAGCCGCCGCTGAGACATGCGTAAGACACACGGCTCATGTGGGCAGTATGGCTGCTCTAATCTGAAATAAAAAGCAAGACTTATTTCTAGAAGTCTGCAAAAAATAAAAATTAAATAAAGCACCTTAGGTTTAAGGTGCTTCATAAACATTTCCTGTGCTCTAGCTGTGGTGAGCCTTTTCTGCTTTAGAAAAAAAAACATAAAACCAACTTTATGTATCAATTCCTGTTTATTATTTCTGTCTGATGGGGTCCAGAATTTACTTAACCTTTAACTTCCTTTCAGACACGCCAGGGGCTTTGATAAAAAATGATATGGAAATGTTATTGTAAAAATGTGTTGCCATTACACATCAAATTATTATTTTTTTAAATGTGACGCCTTTCCTCTATACATTTTGAGATAAGTTTAGGAAATCCTCTCAGACAGATGCTTCTAAGCAGGATGTGGGAGTGGAGGAGGTGACAGAGTTTAAAATACTAAAAAGTGCCCTGGGATTATGGCACTTTTTGTGAGTGAAATATGAGATGTATTGAGCCCTGGCATTTTTGACAAGCAGCTGCTATTAATGCAAGAAATCCTTCAGAATTTGAAATGAGATCTGCAATTTATCTTGCTTCCAGCTCCGCTCTCCTTATTCCTATAGTACTGTTATTAAGCCACTGTGATCGTCCCTTTGTTGCTCCTATCCCCAGTTTCCCCTAAATACTCACTGATAATAACATACAGCTGAACATGAGAGTCTTCACTGTGTTTTTGTGTTGTTTTAAGCTGTCTGCATTAACGTCTTCAATTGTGACCAACTTTATAACCAGTAAACAGTTCTCTGTAACATGTCTGATTTCGATTTAGTGTTGTCACCAATCTGAAAGTACAACCACCTCTACTGCTGCTGTGCTGCCTGAACCACAGGAGGGTCCACTGGCACTGTCACAATGATCCTATTTATGTATTTATATAACCTGCTTACACAAGGCAAAGTGACTCCATCTTTAACTCTGGCAGTGACAAGAAGACAAACCTCCACTAACAGCTGTGGAGCAAGGGGGAAATCTTTTGAAATGATTTCAAATACGTTAAAATTAAGAATCTCATTTTCAAGGGAGACTTGGCCAAGGCGGTTAGCAGCATAAATAGAAACACATACGGAGACTAAATAGGGAGGTCACATTACAAAAAGTTTCTAAATATATACACCTCCTATGAGGAATCTGCCTCTTAATTATTTAATTCTGGATTTGAAAGTATTTAACAAAGTACATTAATTCAGTTTCAAGCTCTTCCGCAATCAACTCCATGCCGAAGGTGCAGAACTAATGCCCTGGTTCTGATTTCCTCATGGGCATTTGGGACAAGGAGCAGAAAAAAGTTCTGAGTTATAAAAACATGTAGGTAGTGTGTGAGCATATGTGCATTTCATTTGATATAAAGGAGTACCAATGTAAGTGTCTATGAGTGGCCAGAACAGGCCATCCTACCCAGCTCACATGACACTGTGCTACTAAAGTTTTAGATAGAAACTACAAAAATTCGGAACAGAAACATTCACAAAACTGTATTATTTTTTATGTTGTCCTACCTGTCATATGAAGCAGCAGTATCAGAAATATGGACATTTGAATGCATCTTAAATCAGACATCGTGCTCTCTCTGTCAGTGTCTAATGAACTAGGCTGCTCTTCCTCACGAATGCTTAAGCAGTGTTTCAGGAAGTGGTTTTGCAGTAACGTGCAAAAATTTAAAGATACATAAAAAAAAATCTGTGGTGTGCCAGTGGCTAGTGAGGTCTTAGTTACTTCTACCAGCTTTCCTTTGCATAGAGAGATTCATGTGAAGACATGTAAAGTGTGAATGGTATGGAGCCAGAACAGTCTCATAATGGACAAATGCACACAGAAATGAATAAATGCACGGAAAAGGACTCACAAATGTATTTGGGGAGTTGTATATATATATGACTCGATACACAAATGCATTTTCAATGCACACACAAATATGCTTATATATAAGTAAAAAAAAAATTCACATATAAAAATAAGATTTGTAAACATATTTGTCAATCAGCCAATCAGATGTCTCTAAGTGTAACAAAACCTTATGTTTCACTTACACTTAAATTGTCGCGGTTGCCGCTTCCAGACGCCATGTTTCCTTTTTTCGTGAGGCACTCATGTGATTGGCTGTAAAGGAGTGAGACATCTGATTGGCTGCAGACGACCCCCTTGTATATGTACCCCCATTTGTGTATCGGAGTCACTCTAGAAGAGTCTCAGAATTCCACACACAAATGCAGGGAGGTTTACAAATTAAAAGCACTGAGACAAATGCGCGTTTGACAATTCATATCTCAATGTCTCAGTGTGCATTTATCCATTATGAGACTGTTCTGGCTCCATAGGAATGGTGGTTTGTTCTTCTCATGATAAAAACTTCAACATCCGAAAGCATGCAAATATGCAAAGAAGTTGGCAAACAGTCAAACATGTCAAGATCACTGAAAAATAATATATTTACTTAAATGTGCCTTCTGCCTCATCTCAACTTTCTCACGGGCTTCATGTGTTGTAAGTGGAGCTGGTTCTGTATAAGGTGATCCTCAACTAGTTTCAGCTTCTCTAAAGCTGGATCTGTGTTCACCGGACATTTTTTCCACAAGGCTGAATCAAATCTTTAAGAGCTTGTATCTATTATGATAATCAATTGTCAGCCGATTATAATGCATTGTTTCAATATTTTGTAACTGTGTTCTCACTTTGCCACAATTAAGCTCATCATTCTATTCTAACTCTGCTTGCTTTGACCTCAAAATTCTAAATCTATCATTCAGATCCGGTCGGCCCTATACGCACACTACACAATCTGCATAGGGCATAGTTCAATGAGAAGATGAACGGAACAATCGGTCATGAAAAGAGAAAAAACATGAGAGTGAATTGTGGGAACAGGAATCAGTTTGATAAACGTCAACAGGCAACAGTGTTTATAGTCTGCATATGCACATGCACAAAATGAAACTCAGCTCAGCAGCAATGGTACTCCTCATAGCCACACATCCACTCTGTCAAGCATTCAGCCTGGCCACAGTAGTATTCAATGGTGTGACCATAGAATAGGCATCTCCAAATGAGAGTCATTAAACCGATTTTTTAAAGTGCATTTCCCACAATTCTATGATATTTAGGAAAATGTGCACATGTAGAATGTAGTTTTGAGGACTACATTGACATTTGAATTCACATTTAAAGGTATAGTCTCTGATGAGATAGTGGCTGGCCCTCCACTTCATTTCGTTTCGGTCAGGTGCTTACTGTGTTTACTGACTTTACCTACCAACTAGAATTATACATCTTCCAGTAGGAGCGAATGGGATAGCTTCCAGTGGGGGAAAATGATACAGTTTTGCCACTGGTGGCCTGAATGAGGTTGCTAGGAGAGTCTGAAAAGTCACCATGCTGGCAACACTCGAAGATTCTGGGTGCAACCAAGTCTCGTTCTCGAAATAAAGCGCTCAAAAAAAGAATAACATATTTCCTACTGTATATCGATTGGTACCTTTTTCAGTCTTGGTTGAGACATGTTCCCCCCTAAGAATGCATGGTTACGCCCTAGAGTATTTCATATTTGAAAATGTATAAAATGAAATATGAGGGATCCAGTTTGAACGGGCCTGTTGTAGCTGTTTTGAGACTTAAAGCTGCAGCCAGAGCCTATAGGCTTATGTTTACATCATATAGCCAAAGATAATTGTATAATACTGTGAGGACTGGACTAATTACCAGTTAGCAGAGCCAACACTCTGTGTTTGATTTTATTATATTTTAGATTTCACATTTTCTACAATTTCTACTTATGTTAATGTTAATATTCACTTATCTTAAGATTCTATAGGAGGACTGTAGTGGGAGCACTGGGGGGTCAGGTGTGTCGGACAATGGCAAATGGTCACAGTCTGATGCACCTGACACCCCAATGGCTTATGGGTCAGATAGGAGACCCTTTAGCAGAATTTTACTGAGGGCCCCAGGGAAGTCAGAACTGGCTCTGACACTTGCTGTGGTATCTATCTTTACCTATTTAATTTTATTTCTTACTTTTTATTTGTGCCATACATTCCTTCAGTTAGTAAGTAAATATCTCAACATTGGCTTTGGTGAATGGCATCGTATGTGAATTTCATAAGGTAGACATCTTAATAAGAAAGAAGAATTAACAACAGACATTTGGAAAAACAAACAACAACAAAAACAAAATAAACAAACAAACACAGACATAGCAACTTTATGTTTTAGATCCTTTTTTGACATGGCTCTTGGTTCCCATACGTCCATAACCCTGTCCATTTTTTGCTGCATTTTTGCTGTGACCGTTTCCATAATAAGAATCTCATCCACCTTTTGTTGCAGTTGTTTTATGTTTTATATGGGTTATGGCTGCCACCATAAGATTGTAATTGTAGTAACAGCCAACGACGCCGATAGATTGATAAATCAATATCTCAGTCTCGTCGTTGAGATTTACGAGGTTATCACGAATGCAGCATGAGCACTGGTGCTTCTCTCCTCTCATCCTTTTGTGTCTCCCGTCCAATCAGCGCTCGGATGCGGTTTGTTGGCTTCTCATTGGTCGGGAAGGAGGAAGATGCGACGGCCATGGAGAATGGACTGGGGACTTTTCAAACCATCCTACTGATGTGATTGATGTTCTGATGTGATTTGCAGGCATTGACTCGTCGCGGTATGTAGTGTGAGAGCCGCGGGTTGTTACGCACCGGACGCCGCTCGGTTTCGGGGTTTTTCTCTTGGGTCTTGTTTGTTTTGTTGGATCGTTTGATGTGATGTCGGGCCTGTCGCCCTGCCTTGAAGTCACTCCCTAGAAATGTAGCTTGGGGTTACAACACTGGTAAAGCTGTCACTGAAGGTAAGAAAGGGCTCAATGCGACATAGACATCATAAATGGCGTCGGTAGTTGTTATGGGAATCTCATTTGGCTTGTGGTCCCGGTTTTAGACCTGAGTCTTGACTTGTGGGCCTATCTGTGGACGGCCTGCCTTATTTAGCATGAGGGACTTCAGCCTGTAAAGCTGAAAATGAATGAACAGCAGAACTGTTCAGACTTGAGACATTAGAGTCATTCAGTTTGTAATAGTGGGTTAAAAAGGGTTCAAATGTAAAAATGTGCTCATATATATATATATATATATATATACATGCATGTATATAGAGAGAGTACCATGTAGCCTATAATAAATATAATAATATGTGTATGACATGTTCAATGTCATAGGAACTTGCAAGCAGCTTTAATGTCATATCACCAGTTTCACACTGTTTACAGAATACATCTAAAATTGATTTGCACTCTGATAGATGGAGCTTGTGTGTTGAGATGAAGCCTCATCTGCTCTTCTTGTAGGTATTGCTGTGTGGACGATGCACGAGCGATGTCTGATGTTGAGGCCACGTATGCAGACTTCATCGCCTCCGGCAGGACGGGACGCAGGAACGCCATGCACGACATCCTGCAGAGTCCCACCGATCCCGAGGGACGAGAGATGCCCCTCACCCTGTCTCTGTCCCAGCTGCACATCAACGCAGGAGGGGGAGGTAAACTGCTGCACTGGACTACTTCACTTTAGCTCTCATGTTAATCATTTATGTGTTGTACAAGCAGCAGAGAGGGCGAGGTATCCAAGACTGCTCTCCACAAACACGTCAAACTACCTCGTCTGAGAGGAGGGCCATTGTGTGTTTCACATTGTAATTTTAATCATAATAGTGTACTCTGAACCAAAATTGTGGTCCAATCTCAATCTCCTTCTCCTACTGTATGTGATATTAGAAGATGCTGCATGGTAGAATAGCTCTGTATAAAAAAAAATATTTACAGACAAGTAGTTCATTAAGGAAAATGTTCCTGACATAAAAAAAAGTTTTAGAAAGTAGTAAAAATATGCTCTCCAGGTTGCATCAACCATCATGTGGCCGTTTGCAAATTAGTGAGCTACAGTAGCAATAAATGCTTTACCGTCCATGCTCCAAAGTAACAGTAACTTAACACTGAATCCACTTTTTTTAGCTATTAAATTACATATACAGTCACGGTTGGACCATCTACTAATCCTGGTCCAATTTTGTTGGGTTTATCATTTCCCCCAGTAATTCTGTCCACTTTGTCAGGATTCAGAATACATTTTTGAATTTGAAATGGGTGCATGTCAAGTTGCTCTTTAACAGGGTTCCCAAGGCTGGAAATTCAGAGACTAGTTTTCCAGTCATGGAAGCGCCTGCAAATGGATTCAAATGAGCAAATATCCTAGAAACAATTGATATTGTCCTACAAATGTTTGTATTTTAGCCCCTCAATCAGATCGCCTATGTAAACCTATGTGCATATTTTGTTTGAAACTGGACTTTTGGTTGGATAAACTGTATGACACTTCAAAGAGGGTTCATCAGACGCAACGTGAGACAGACTTTCAGTGATGTATTTGGTATCGATTGGTAGTCTATTTCTTCCAGAGCTGCGAGCATAATTCTCTATTCTTCTATCTACATACATACAGTTTATAAATGATTACATTGCATCTTGTTGCTGTGGTTGATAAATACATGCACAGTGATGTTAATTGTACACGTAATGAACAATTAACTTGAAGAAAAATAAAATAAATTGTACTTAATTTGTGCTGTAACTTATGGGCTTTGGCCACATTAATGTAATCAATTTGCCTGAAACCGCAGCTTATGAGACCCTTTGCAATGCTGTCCTGTATCATCAAGAAAAAATCCTGGTAAATGTCCTGGAAAGGTCCTGGAAAATGATTTGTTAAAAAGAGCAGACCAAAAACAGAATATGAAAGTCTAAGCTGGCAGTGTTACCCTGGCTGTACACGATTCATCAGTGACCTGTAACATCTACACAACACAAACATAGCCCTTTTAGCTCCTACGCCAGATTTTCCTGAACAACAACTCTTTCACAGAGGGATTTTAGTCTTTTCTTGCACTTACATAATACAGTCAAAACTTCTGGACATGCAGGTTGGTGAATGATGATGGTCTTTTAGGTCTGATGAGAAAAATAGCACATTTTTGATTTGGAAAAGCAGTTCCTCTGAATTGCATCATTGTTGTGAATTGCTTCCTGCAGGATGGCATAAAGCGTTGCTCAATATAACAAGACTGACAACACTTCCTTACTGAAAGCAAGCAAGCAAACTCTAGCGGATGGAGCGCGAAAAAATGTCGAAATACACTATGAGCGATGTTGCAACAACCTTTTGCCAGCCCTGTTTCTATGTAGTTGAAAGACAGTTTACTTCTTTGTGACTCTCGGATTTCCTTCTACCTTCCATCATCTCTGGCAGAAAGCAAACTTCTCCCACATGCCCATGTTGACTGCGGACTAGTACTGCACAGCCAGACCTCCACACTTTGTTTTAGCAAGTCTGAGTGGAACAAGTGCGCAAAACTTTCCAAAACTCAAACACATCGCTCAGCTGTTCGCTGACGCACGGAGCAGATTAGGACATCTTGTTTGGCACAAACTGAACCAATCGGTTGTTTCCTCATTTGCTTGTTTCCAGTTAGGGAGCTGTTTAAGTGTCTACAGCCATGCTAGCAGCTCTGTTAGTGTCCGTGTGAGCCGTAGTAAGTGCTATCAGCTAAATGCTAACATTGAGAAACATGCTCACAATGACAGTGCTTATATACAAATGTTTAGTAGGTAATGTGTTCACTATATTAGCATGCTTACATTTTCTAAGTAGTACTAATGACAAAGAACAGCTGAGTCTGATGGGAATGTCATTAGCTTTGCATATATTTGGTCATAAAACAAAGTATCTGGCACAGTTCAGTAGCAATCTATGTAATATTTCTTGAGATATTTCAGTGGTGGACCAATGGACCAATCAATAGACAGACATTGCCCTAGAGCCACTCCACTTGCGAGGCTAAAAGTTAAGGATGACTGGGACCCAGGAGTATAGCCTAAAACATGCAAAAACACTGATATAATGCAAAAAGATATATGTCCTGTAAATATACATTTTCCTCCCCTTCCCCCTTTTTTTTCTGTAGATGGAGACGACACTGAGGACAGCCAGAGCTCCTCTTCCTCCTCAGCCCACAGGGGCGCTGAGCAGAGGAACAGCTAACCTTCCACACGCTCCTGCCAGTGGACAGAGAGGTGCCAGATGGATTCCAGCCGCCATCGCGATGAAGCCGTTTGTCCAAAGTGGGCTGGTAGTCGGAGGGTAGCAACACCATTGTTGAGGTGCCTATAAACAGGCGACTGACCCCCAAAAATCCACTGTAGAGGCGCTGTGCTGGGATGTGATCACACAGTTCTCCCATGTCCCTGTGGCCCTGCTGTGCACTAGAATAACAGACTGTTGGCAAGGGTGTATTTCAAAGTTGGAGTAAGCAGAGAGACACATTTGTAGCTCTTGTACAGCTGATTTTACTTTCAGTCGTAGTTACTAAACACACAGGCTGGAGGACTGGGATAAAAAGAGAAAATGGACAGAGATCCTATGTGAGTTTTGTAGTTGTGCAAGCAATTTGTAAGACCACTGAGACGTGCTGATATAATGCGTCACAGTGGGAGTAGCATGTTTGTAGTGATGCTGATAGAGATTATATTGCCAGCTAATGGCTTGTGCTTCCTTGACAATACTATTGACAATACTGTAGATGGAATTGGACTACTCAGCTGTAGTAGAGCTGGAAAACACCATGAGCAAAAACAGTGGGGCTTGGTTAGTTTATCTGTTGAAAGGTGTGTTCACTGATTCTGTTGGACTAAATCCAGTCATATGCTGAATGTGAAACTGGCCTATACTGTAAAAAATAACAGCAGAGAAGACATCAGCACTGGGATGGTGGTGTGACAGTGTTCTGTTGACACCAACAATACATAATAATACATTTACAGTGAGTATGGATGACATAGTTCAATGGCTCGTTGGTTAAAAAAATAAATGTGGATGATCTATTGTCTTTTAAAATGTTTATACTTTTGTTTTTTTACTTTTCTAATGATGCCATTATTATCACAACCTTCAAGGAGTAGTTTGAAATTTTGGGAAAATACCTTTATTTGCTTTATTGCTGAGTATTAACATGAGAGGATTGATAGCACTTTCATGTCTGTGCGCTGAATATGTAGCTGGAGTCAGCAGAAGGTTAGCTTAGCTTAGGATAAAAAGTGGGAACAGGGAAACAGCTAGCCTGGCTCCGTCCAAATGTAACAAAATCTGCCTACCAGCTCCTCTAAGGCTCACTAATGAATATGTTATTTCTTATTTGATGAATTTGTCCAAAAACTCGAATGTAGAAATTACAATTAGCCATTTTACAAGGGGGTCATATGTTGAACTAGTTCTCGTCTGGGACCAGTTGCCAGGCGGCCCTCGGATACTCCACGAAGGAATTGGTCTTTTTTGCAACACAGTTTTTGTACGGATTCAGCGAATGAGATGTAACATGTTAATTATTGAGCTTTAGAGGTTGTGGTTGGCAGATTTTGTTACCTTCGGACAGAGCCGTGGGCTAGCCCTGCTAAAAGCTGTAAAGGTGTGATATCAAAGAGTCTTTCGACACCTCACGACCTTTGACCTGCGATCTACTATTTTTAACTTTGTTATTATTAGCTCACGGAATAGTGTGTTCCTACTTCCTCTCTATGTTCATTCGTGTGCTTCCTGACTAACAACAACTAACAACTAACTTTTTTTTTTTTTTTTTGGATACGAGGTGTGGATTTATTATGACCTGTCTTAATAGATAAGCTAGTTAGTGAAGCAAACCGGCATCTGGCTCCAGCTACACATTCAGCATACAGACGTGAGAGGGGTATCAATCTTCTTATCTAACGCTCGGCAGTAACGTGAACAACTGTATTTCCCAAAATGTCAAACTATTCTTTAAATGTAGATATGCAATACTCAGTGGAGCTTCCAGTAAGTGTAATGTTTGTGTGAAAGTTTCTATCTCGAACGTTGAGGCTGAACTACATTCCTGCTTCTTTGTGTAGTAATGGATACACCCCATAATCATCATCCACAAAGACCACCACGCATGCTCTGTAAAAACTGTTTATTCTGTTATTTTATCCCAAGTATAATCTTACTGTAACACTGCAGCTTGACTGTGTCTCATTCTTATTCATACTGATGATAATAGGGCAACTATAGCTCTGTTTATAATACTCATTCAATCAGGTTTCCAAGTTGTAAACTGCCATGTGACTGTGTAGTGACTCACACCTGCGTCAACAACACTGTAAACCCAGCTGTTCATAATTCAGCATGTAGAAATATGGCAGGTGCATGATTCTGCTAAATGTGTAGGTGCTGGTCCGACTGTCTGTAAGCATATTTTCTACCCTATGTGTCAAAACAAAATAAATAACTGATGACAGTAAAATGGGACATTTCTTATCTTGTTGTATTTCTGCCATTTGGCCAACAGGTGGCACTGTGGGAGAATTTATAAAACTAAACACTAAAACATGCATGACACTTAAACTATGGTAAATACTGAACGGTATAAATGTTTAACACACATGCAACCATTATTAACAATGTCAAAATGAAGTATTTGATGAAAACAAATAAGCAAAAGTGATGACATTTTTTTTTACAGAATTCCTCAGTGGGATTCTGTTGGTTTATGTTTTTTATGACATATTGTAAAACTATTTTCTTCTTTAACAAATGTTAATACTTTATATACAGAAGTGTTACTGTATATAAAGACCTAAAAGACCATCTGTCTGCTGTGCCCCAGTGTGTGTGTGTGTGTGTGCGCGTGTGTGTCTGTGTGTGGTGCTGATTATGCAAATAATCATTAGACAATTGTACCAGGAAGTTTCAGTAAGAAAGAAAAATCCCCCGACTGGTTTCTCTTAAGTTCCTCATTCTGGTGGCTGAGAGTAACAGTCCTGTCTGTCGACCGGCTTCCCACTTGCCAAATACAGCCAGTCTGTCAGTCCACCAATCTGATGAAAAACACAGAGAAGAAAGCTGAGGACTAAAAACTGTTTCCTTATCCCGGGATATACACACTCAGAGAGGTAAGCACAAATGCGTGAATGACACCATTCAGAGATGTGCATCAGGTGAGTCTGTTCTTACTCACTCACCCACAACAGAAGGGTTAACTGAGTATAACCTGTAGGTAAAGGTACATTTTGACTGACTAGACTGGAAATTATTGGCTTATCTGTGATTTTTTAAATGTCGCAATCCATTTCAGAAAGTTACTCTGAATATAATTTATTCAAAAATCGTTTTGAGCTATTTTTGAATTTTCCTCAAACCTCACTATGGATGGCTTTATGGAACTTTAAGTATGGTTGTGTCATAGTTTTGACAAACACCTCTTATTAAAAGAATATTTAGTAAGTTGTAAGAAATCACCAGTTAAACTTTAATTGGTGTAGGTTTTAGGTGGCTATGCAGTATTTGTCATTATTTGTATTAGTTGCAGTGAAATTCTGCAGTGGTTCATCTCGTCTCTTAATCTTTCATTTCTTTACCACTCCCGTCTTTGGCTAAGTCCATTGTTTAAGGAGGAAGTTTTTATATTGGTCATGGCATAGCCCACTGAGTGTGTGTGTGCGTCGGCTCCTAATCTGTTCAGATTCTTGGTTCCGGCTGTTTGCTGACTGTCAGGTTAAAAATATAACAGAGGCACTGAACCAGTGAAACACATAAGCAATAACAAACTGCCAAACTGTTGGTTAGAAAACTTTTTTATGCACCTAACCCCAGCACCCATACTGATATTTATATTTAAACATTGATGGTGATGGTGTTTGAACCTTTTTTTGTTAACCTAATTGTTGTCCAAACAGTGAGATTCATTTCAGCCCCTGACCTAAATCTGACACCTGAATATCTTTGAGGACAATAACCACTTTTGTTTGCATGCCTCAAAACTCTATTATGTTATATGATATGCTGCTATTAGAGGTTTTAATGCTTTTCGTAAACTGTAAAACCTGACAACATATAATAGTAAAAGAAGAAGAAGTTCACATAAATTAATCCTCCAAACAAAACTGGACTCACTCATTCACTTGAATTAAACGGAAAAATGAATTGTTGAAACAACTCAGTTGTTTTGAGTGCATTTAAACGTGTGCAGTATTGGTGATATATTTCCCCTGACTCATTTTCATATAATTTCAAAAGTGTAATGTATGTCAGCTGTTTTGACAGGTAATGTAATAAGTTGCTTTAGTGGATGAAAACTTAAGTAAAACTTGTTGGTAACATTTGTATAAAGACGATGCATTTAAGTTACTTTATTCAGATAAATTATGTTCACACATTTTAAGTAAGTTTGGAAAAATGCTGCATATGAGTGTAACTTCAATTAACTCAATGGAATTGTTACAATTAACTTTACCCAAGTTACCTTAATAATAAATACTTGAGTTACTCATAATCTCAAAATCAAATCAAAACTTGAAATCAAATCAAAAATGTTATCATGCTTAAATTGAGTTAATAAAGTAAAACGGTTTGATACAATTGGTTTACTGAAACAGTTTGAGTTGAACCAACTCATCAGGTTTTACAGTATATTGAATGTAGGTGGCTAGTTTTTAGCCAGGCTAATGGTGTGGCTCTAGGTATAGCAATGTCAGTCAGTCCACCAATTTGGTCTGGACGGAAGTATCTCAACAAACACTCAGGATGACATTCATTTCAAAGTTTTCACTTAACAACAACTAAATAGATAGGCACAAAATGATGTAGGCCTACATACATTCATGGTTCCCAGTCGATGAATCCTTAAGACTTTGGTGGTCCCCTGACCTTTACCCTATAGAACCCAATGAGGTTTACATTTGAGTGAAATGTCAACAGCTTTAGATAGATTCCAATGAAAGTTGGTACACACATTCATGTCCCCCTTTGGGTTGCATTGTAATAACTCTGGGAATTCTGACTTTTCATCTAGTGCCATCATCAGGTCCAAATGTCATTCGTCCAATCCTTTGGATTATGATTAAAAACCTGCAAAACTAATAACATTCAACTTGTGTTTACTGCTCATTAGCAACTGTTGGCATGCTAAAGCCAAAAGCGTTATGTCTCCTAAACATCAGCAGCTTAGCTTTGTCATTGTGAGTGTGTTAGCATGCTGACTTAACTAAGGTGGGGGATATGGTAATCATTACAGCTGTTAACATCAGTATCTCAGCATTGTCAGAGAGAAAATGCTGCCATGCTAGCGTTAGTGTTAGGGTCAAAGTGCAGCCTCAGAGAGCTGCTTATATGGCTGAAAAGTCTTTGTTTGTCTTCCCTACCCTTGTTAAAGATTCATGTCATATTAAGGCCAGTCCAGTCCTGTTCTTCATTACTACACTTGCTCTTGCTACCTGAATCTCACGGAGGACCTTATTGTTGGATTACTCAAACATATATTACAAACTTAATTTCCATGGGAATAAAAGTACTGATCTTTATGATTTTTACTATGGATTGTTTGCGGTTGGTTTTTCTTCATAGGTAATTCCTCTTGACCTCTGACATGTGACCTACTTTGTTTTCTGACTTGCCAGACACAGCATTTACTTTAAGAGTCATTGTTCCCTTAACGTTCTAGTTGTCCTGCTGTTTTAAAGAGCATCCACTGGCCCACAGGACAAGCTCAGACTGTTCCTCTTGTCTCTGTTTGTGTCATTCAAGCATGCACTTTAGTTTCCTGTTTTATAAAACAGATGTTGCATTATAACCAACATGTACTTATGCTACAATGATGGCTCAGTTTCCCTGTATTGTATCAATACAGTTTATCTTGATAATCTACAATCTATAATCTTAATATTGCATTTAGCGATTAACAATGAGGAAGGAAATATTAAGTATTTAATCAACAGTATACTAATAAAGCTGAACTTGCAGCGTGGTTGAATATTCTCTAATGGGTCCAAAGTTTGAATAAATATGCCAGGTTTCACCAGGGAAGAAAACACATCCAACAGAAGCTGTGATGGATGTTTATGAGTCTGCACTGTTGAGAGCAGCCTTATCACATTTCCTTATAGCATAAGGACACTCACATGATCCCAGTAAATGTACCACAAAATATCTTTACAAATTATAAAAATGTGTAAACTATGCAACCTAGCAAGGTGTATGTGTGGGTGTGTGTTTCCCCCTTAAACAGCAGGTGACTTTTGGATGTGCACTAACGACTGTTCTGTCTTCCTTTTTTATGCTTTTTTAAAATGACACACCCACATGCTGTGAAGCTGCCAGTGTGGCTTAAAAAACAGAAGCCATAAACCATCCATTGTCAAAAGGCTATACACCATCACAGAGCTTCACAACAGTTTTCATGAAATACACCTCATTCACACACACATCATATACTACTCATCTACTACTACTACTACTGCTGCTGCTTCTACTACTACTACACTCTAATCATCGAGGTTATCTAGGTTGTGTTCATTTGTTCTTTTTTCTCTAGTGGCTCTTTACAGCTTCCCTTGTCATACAGGAATCATCTCTTGAGGTTTAAGTGCATGTTTTGGTAGGTCAGTGTTTGTGGGCTTCCTGTTGGTAAGCAGAAAACAGACCATCCCCAAGCCACAAGAATAAACCATATTACAGAAAACTGCAGCAATAAATCTTCTATTACACTGAATGGATGCCTACAGCAGACCAGAGCACAGTGAAGTAGCACTGATAATACTACAGTTTGATAACTACTGTTTCTTATGGATTAAATATTTGAGGACAGATTCTATTGACTATATTGCGCTTACACTGTTCAACTTTTAAGCCAAACATTAGGGTTTAGGTGTTTTTCACACCTGCTGCTGCTTGTTAGTTTCTAAGAGTATGGGCATTTCCTCTACGATTTTCTTTGAACACCAAATGATAAAAAAGGAAAAACTGAACATGTCACTGGTTTGGTTCTGTGTAATTTTTCCATGCAACAGCTGAAAGGTTACAGGTGTTTGGTACCAAATATTTTAAATGTTTGTTTCATCAGCTCTATGGTAAATGAGTAACCATCCAGTTCTCTCTTCCTTTTTCTCACTTCCTCATGCAGGCAGGATGGGCTGTATGAAGTCCACGCTGAGCGAAGGTCTGAGCGGAGTTGTGGAGGGGAAGATCAGCCAGCAGCCTGTACGTACTGAGCAAACGCACTATGTCAGAGACCCCACCTCCAATACAAAAAACAACATAGTAAGTAGTCAGACAGCTGCACTGAGCAAAACCAGAATTTCAGTAATAGACAATAAGACACTGATTTCTGCTCTCTGAGATAACTTATGTAAAGTGTTGTGGGGCTGATCTCAGCCCAGAGTGAAAATCAATGAAAAGTATAAAACAGCATAAAAACATGCATTTCGGGTTTTAAATGTGCCCTGGTGAATTAAAGATTGAACAAATGGAATA